GGGGGGGAATCCCTCCCAGTAGCGGGGAAGGATAACTCGCTGCACTTCTTACCGGATTGGAATGCCCATAAACCAGGTGGGTGCTTGTGATGACCACGGATGGCACCGTCATTGTGAGCCTGAGGAAGGGGACCCTGTGTGGCCCCGAAACCACTAGCTTTTTTGAATGGCAACAATGCTGCAATAAATGGGACTTTTGCTTTCTTCACTGAATATTGGAGTGCTGGTGACATTTTTGCAACCCCGCAGTAGGGACACAGGGGCATAGAAGGGTCAGGGCCGTCCATATACAAAGGTGATGACTTTTTTGATGCCCTTTCTTGTAAGAAAAAAAAACATTGTGATCTCTATAAAATTCCCGTGTGTTCTCAGATCTCCAGAGGGACTTCAATCAATGGGATCATCTCATCGACGGTGAAGGAGAATTCATCATGCCAGGAACGAATCTTGCTCTACCTCCAGCACAGACCGAGGGCCCCAAATGACCCTCAGTGCCAACAAGTGACCCACAGCCTATTACCTCCTCCCCACCGTGGGAGCATTCTGCTCTGTGATGGAAGAGAGAGCTGTGCCTCCTCCATGGGACGCCCGATACTTGTGACTGCCGACTGTGGAGGAATCTGAGACTTCCCATAGTCTGTGATCTAGTGCTAGGAAGGACATTGTTGTTTTTTTAACTTAACTTTTGTACGTGACGGATTTTGGCTGGCTGTGGTGTAAGTGTTAGACTCCGGTATATTGGTGTGGACTTCTTATACCTTTCAGTGACACCACGAGCCTATGAGCACTGCCTTACCAGTATGACCACAACCACCTCAGTTACTTCTATGGTGCTTTTCTTTAGCTAGGAGTTGTTTTCCACACACCGGTGATAAAGGATAAGTGTAGTATTGTACCAGGGGCGTCTTTAAGGAGGGGCAAAAGGGGCAGCTGCCCTGGGCCCAGTCATTGCTGTGGGGTCCTGTACCCCATAAACTAGTGCTAATGCTGCATCTGCACCGGCCGCCTCTTCAGCATCGGGGAAGGGGCTGGCTCCGGGTCTACCGAGGCAGAGCCAGCTATCAGTCAGGCAGCGGGGTGGATCCTGACAATATTGTTGCGATCTTTCCAAGCTGTAGCGTGGCTCTGTGCTGTCAGCATATAGCAGACAAAATTGCATGGTGGGGGTGGCAGGGGGCCCAAGAAAATGTTTGCCCAGGATCCAATCAATATTAAAGACTGCCCTGTATTGTACATGACATCGGGGGGGGACACATTAATATAGAAGCCAGCAGGAAATTGTTTAGGAGTCGCCTCCATTGACCACAACTAGAGAAAACCTCTTAAGTAGACACCAGCTGTGAATTTTAACGCCCATTTCCACCTTTTGCGGAGGTATTTAAAAAAGGAAGCATTGCCAGCAGTGTACACCGAGTGTACGTGAAGAAGGCATATGCAGCTGTTGTATATGAACACAGAAACGTACATATTTTGTTAGCTTTCCTCCTCTTGAAATGCCCACACACACACACACACACACACACACACACACACACACTATTGTGACCTGGGAATGCAGGGCTGGTGTGCAGTGGCCTTGTTGCAATGGCTCGCAGTGAGGGGGTCAGCTGCTTTTACAATCCGACCCCGGTGTGTCCTTTGGAGGGAATTTTCGGTTTGTAGGATTCGGGCCTACTTAAAACTCCATAATAAAGTGAAGAAAGTCAGTAATGCGAGTCATGAGTATGTTCACACCTATACATCACCATCATCATCATCATCATCACCACCACCATCACCTCTACATTACCACAATGCATGCCTATCACTTCCAAAGGAGGAGATGGGCTTTAAGGTGCATTGGCTACCTGACTTTTGGGATTCGTCCGCCTTCCTCCTCGCAGCCTCGCCTAGCAATGCAAAAGTGGAAATAAGCAGAAATGGCGGGACACTGACCTGGGAGGTCTTGCAACACAAATGTAACGGGCGCCCCCTTCATTTCAAGCCGTGCCCGACTGCTGTCAATGCTAACAAGGGCTCGTAGCCATGGTTCATTATTGTGCTATACCTGAGCAAACAAAGATGGCGCGATCTTAGCCACTATATAGATCCAGAGCCGGATTTACTCTCTCTGCTGCCCCAATGCCAGGTTCCTCAATGCGCCCCCCTAAATACAGGCCGCATACAAGTGATCTCATCAACGTCACTGAATTCACTTGTACAAAACAAGCGGCGGCTTCCCCGCTGTACATTTAGCCCTGCGTCCTCAAAGCAGGACTAAATGTAGAAAACAACTACCCGCCCGGTGCCCGGGAACTGCATGTCCCGGGATAGGAATTCCACACCCCTGCTGCCCCTCTACTTTCTGCTGCCCCGAGGCCGGGCCTCGGTTGGCCTTGTGGGAAATCCGGCCCTGTATAGATCTGCAGTTGCCATGGTGATGTACACGTGACCAGCTATGACGCCATGGCACTGGTATGCAGGATGTAAAGGAGAACACTGCAGAAAAACAACACGGGTCTGAATAAGTATTTAATAATAGAGATTGAACATTTCTAACCTGAGCGTTCTTTCAGGAACCAGTTCCATTGGTGGGTTTAAGTTTCACTATAAAGAGCATCTAAACCAATAAACAAAAAGGTCATTGATTGCAGGTTACCGGTCCCTAGATGTGGCGGCTGCCTTTGTTTTCTTTTTTCCTTTGTACTCACCTGGTGATCCTGGCGGTAACCCACTTCCTGTCCTAGGGTGACAACGCTCACTCACTGTCCTCAAAACAGGAGCAGCGTTGCCACCCTAAGCTTCATTTTTTGTTTGAAGTACAACTACTTCCTCCTTATCTGTATTACATAGTGGGGAATTGTTTTGTAGTTCACAAGTGAACTGGGAAGGCTGATGACGTTATGGGGAGAGTGACATACATTCACCCCCATCGTTACAGCCGATGTTTAACACTGCAGCCGTCACACATCGGCTCTGTTGACTGACGGTCACCGCTATCTGCAGAGAGAAGTTCAGGAACTGAGTGATCAGTGGAATGCGATGGCTCAGTTCCTGAACTTCTCTCTGCAGATAGCGGTAACTGTCAGTCACAGCGATCCCCCTCCCCCTCTCTGTTCCTCCAGCATTGAGGGCTTGTTCACACCAAAAAAGTATCCCTATGGTATTTCTGGGCCGTGTTCACACCAGCGCAGTCCGTTTGGGACCAGACAAAAAAATACTGCATGCCTCATTTTCTCTGGTCTGCAATGCACTGGAACGCATGAAAAACACACCGGACCGCGCCTGAAAGCCCATTTAAGTAATAACAAAAAAACAAGCTTCAGAGCGTGGCAAAAACGCAGTAAAGTTGCACTGCGTTTGCAGATCTGCTCCAGACATGATGTGAACATAGCATGACGGGAGGGACAGGGAGGGGGTAGCACAGCTGGCTCTCACTCTAGGGAGGCGGAGCCAGCTGTTAATCAGGCAGCAGGGTGGATCCTGTTGGGCTCTTCCCTCTGTGTTGTCAGCATATAGCAGGTAGTAGCCCGCTATTGGCTGAGTTTGGGGTCACTGGAACACGTAGTAAATGAGTTTGGCCCATAGTTCCCTTTAAAGATTTCAGTTTAGTGCAAACAAATGAGGGCACGAGATTTCTAGCTAGACTGACAGGTTCTTTTTTTGTACATAGACA